GTAGAAGAAGCGAGAGGCGGTGGTGGCGGCGGTGAAGAAGTGAGAAGAAGAGGTTGCTCGTGCACAAAAGACGATTTTCTCCCTGAGGAGTCATTTCAAAGCTTCAGCAATTATGGAAAAGCACTCCTTGAAACGCCAATGCGTTTCAAGGACAGACTCTTTACTCGATCTGTGGATTCTGTAGAAATCACAGAGGTCAAAGCTCAAAGCGAGCATGAAATGAAAAAGAACCTAACGTGGTGGGATCTTATCTGGTTCGGTATGGGCGCTGTTATTGGCGCTGGAATATTCGTCCTCACTGGTCTTGAGGCAAAGAAGGTCGCCGGCCCTGCGGTTGTCTTGTCTTATGTGGTTTCCGGCGTCTCCGCGATGCTCTCCGTCTTTTGTTACACCGAGTTCGCCGTTGAAATTCCTGTTGCTGGTACATAAATTTAGAATTTAATTAATTACAATGAATCTTAATTCTGAAGCAGTGAACAACTATTGGTCATAGTTTTCCTTAAAAAGAAAAATTCTGGTGATAATTATTAGCTTAATGTGATCATTGTAAATATTATATTTATATATTCAGAAATTCTTCTTGCAGAATTTAGAAAAATATAAAGTCTGTTATATTTATAGAAATTTATATTTATATATTCAGAAATTCTTCTTGCAGAATTTAGAAAAATATAAAGTCTGTTATATTTATAGAAATGTTAATTTTTTTTTTTCCTCTTCAATTTGCGTGTAAAGGTCAAAGTTACACTCTTCATTTGAAACAAAACAATTGCATAAGATAATGATTTAATGACTGAGATAGTGCTTTGAAGAATAATTTAGATAAAGACTTGCGGTCTACTATTTGTGCACGGTAGACTTGAGTGGCATCGTTGACATGTGACAACAACTGCCACTCGGTAACTATGCATGGGATTTGACTTTTGCTTTTTTAGAAAGTTGACTTTTTTTACTATTTGATAAATTAGTAGAGAAAATACTGGTGTACCCAACTTCTGTATTCAGCCATAGTAGACTACTGTCTTGTCCTTTTGTTACCACACCCTTATTTGTGCCTTTGTTGAATGGATATATGTCTTTCCCAGTTGGTAGAATTTAAAAACTTAATCTTATGCCTATCTTTATAACAATTTAAATGTTAGTTGAGGATTTTGATATTATACTGCCAATACCAACTAGTTTAGGATTAAGAATTAATTGCTAATATTATTATTGTTGTAGCTGTCACTTCATTATTTTCTAAAATTCCCATTTTAGAGAATTTTGTTTCTTTATTATTTGTTATGCTTATTCTTGTTAACACGACAACTTAATTTGTCTTCAACAAATTTATACAATGAAGCATGTTAATATGATTTGTTCTTCCATCCCGATCAGGCGGTTCATTTGCTTACTTAAGAGTAGAACTAGGCGACTTCATGGCGTTCATTGCCGCTGGCAACATCCTTCTCGAGTATGTAATTGGTGGTGCAGCGGTGGCCCGTTCATGGACATCTTATTTGGCCACTCTCTGCAACCACAAACCTGATGACTTCCGTATCATAGCCCACAGCCTTCCTGATGATTACGGCCATCTTGACCCCGTTGCTGTTGGGATTACAGCCGTCATTTGCGTTCTTGCAGTTCTTAGCACCAAGGGCTCTTCTCGCTTCAACTACGTTGCATCCATTGTCCACATTGCTGTAATTCTCTTTATAATTATTGCAGGCCTTATTAATGCGGACACCAAAAATTACAGTGATTTTGCTCCGTATGGCTCTCGTGGTATTTTTAATTCAGCTGCTGTGCTTTTCTTTGCTTATGTTGGGTTTGATGCAGTTTCTACAATGGCAGAAGAGACCAAAAACCCTGCTCGCGATATTCCTATTGGTCTAGTAGGTTCAATGGCAATAACTACATTGCTATATTGTTGACTAGCCGTAACATTATGCCTTATGGTTCCCTTCAAGCAAATTGATGCAGATGCTCCATTTTCCGTAGCCTTTCAAGTGGTGGGATGGGATTGGGCTAAATACATTGTTGCTGCAGGTGCATTAAAAGGAATGACAACAGTTTTGCTTGTTTCTGCAGTGATGCAGATGCTCCATTTTCCGTAGCCTTTCAACTGGTGGGATGGGATTGGGCTAAATACATTGTTGCTGCAGGTGCATTAAAAGGAATGACAACAGTTTTGCTTGTTTCTGCAGTGGGTCAAGCCCGCTATCTCACTCACATTGCTCGTACTCATATGATGCCACCATGGCTAGCTCAGGTTAACTCAAGAACCGGAACTCCTGTCAATGCAACTATTGTCATGCTTACTGCTACTGCTATTATTGCTTTCTTCACAAAGCTTGATATATTATCCGATCTTTTATCCATCTCCACACTGTTTATTTTCATGCTCGTTGCACTATCACTTCTTGTTCGTCGTTACTATGTTCCTGGAGTTACAACACCAGCAAATCGAATGAAGTTGATATTGTGCATTTTGGTAATTCTTGGCTCCTCTATTGCAACTGCTGCTATATGGGGTGCAGGTGGTAATGGATGGATTGGCTATGTTATAACTATACCCATATGGTTTTTGGCTACATTAGTACTAAGTGTTTTTGTTCCAAAAGCAAAAGCTCCAAAATTATGGGGTGTTCCATTAGTGCCATGGATACCATCTGGTTCGATTATTATCAACATTTTCCTTCTCGGATCGATTGATGCGAAATCTTTTGAAAGGTTTGGTATTTGGACTGTTGTTTTGCTGATTTATTATTTTCTATTTGGTTTACATGCTACTTATGATGCTGCTAAAGAATCAAAGGTGAGAAGAAATGCAGGGGGCTGGAAAGAGTTGGAAGAAGGTGCACAGCCTACTGCTTAAGTAGATGCAAAATTAATATACAAGTTAAGGTTAATTAATTTTCAAAAACAGAAAAAAAGAAAGGAAGTAAAGTATACTGACTGGCTGGCTATTGTGGGTATTGATGGTATCCATAACTTTTATCTTTAGTTTCTGTAATTGGTTTCTCTTGTAAAATACAAAGGCGTGCATGCTTTTTTCTTTCCCTGTTCCTGAAGCTCTAGTTTTTATCTTCCTTTGTATTAGTTTCCCTTTCAAGCGAAATTGTAAAAAATAAACATTTGTACTTATTGTAAGTATCAAATTCAAGATTTAGTCGACCAATTAAGTAGTTGTAGTCTGATTGGTCTTCTTACTTATATGAGAAGTGAGAGAACTCGATTCGATTCCCCTCAACCACAAATAAATTCAAGATTTAGTCTAATTCTCTTAATCCCATCAAGACATCGTTAAAAGGAAACAAATCAAATTAAAAAGGAACAAAACTATTTGAGAAAATATTCTCCACAACACAAATAAAAATGACAGCTATTCGAGAAATTATTCATTATTGTTTCTAATACTACTTAAAAAAAAAAAATCTATATGTATTGTTTTCTTTTTTTTGTACTCTTTATAAGAAGACTGAGTGCTTTAGTGTGAACAAGGATATATATATATATATATATTTCTTTTCGAAGTAGCACCTTGTCTTTTTTCCCATTGCGTTACGTGTAGAATATTATATACACCTACCGAGATGCTAAAAGTCCAAAACCAGAATCTTATTGTCTATATACACCTACCGAGATGCTAAAAGTCCAAAACCAGAATCTTATTGTCATCTCTCCGTGTGTAATAACGTAATACTTCTTCCAACATGTCTTATCCACAAAACTTTTCTAAACACCTTACTTAAAATATCTAACTAATCCAAAATGGTAAGGTGGAATGGATAAATTCATTCGTGTACTTTATGTTAAATTTTTATAGTATTTTTAATTTTTATATTGATTTATTGACCACTTTAATTTATAAAATTGTATTAATTAAATATTTCAATTTGTAAAAATTATTCTATTGAATACTCAAATTTCTAAAATTAGTTCAATTAAACACTTATTAGATAGTTAAAAATATGAAAATTATTGTTTTAAATATTATACTAACTACACATTTAGTGAATATCATACACATAAATGTCAAAAAAAAATGTTATTGTTAGCATAAAGAGGGATACAATATTTGCAAAATTCGTAAATTCAGGATATAATAAATCACTTGCAAAGTTTGAGGTACCACAATATTTTTTTCGTAAAGTACATGAGTATATTTGTGCATTTGGCCAAATAATTATGACCAAAACCATACAATTTTTCATTTTTTAATGCTTAATCATATTAATATTAACCTTTTACAATAGACAATTAAAATATAAAATCAAATCAGCCAACATAGATTTTTTTTAAAAAAACTTTACTTATAAAGTCCGAAATTAGAAATATGAAATTGCAGAAACTATTTAACTCTATTATTCCTCTTTTATCAGTTGCGGCCAAGAAAGAAAAGTCCACAGGGAAAGACTTTCTTGATTGATTTATCTAAAAACCATTCTGACGAGTATGAAAATATATATCTGACGGAGTATTTGAAAAATATATATATGATATATTATTATATATATATATATAATCTTATATATAATCTTATAGCTAACCAATTACAGTTTGTTTAATTTTGTTTCCGAAAAAATTTAGAAAACGAGATGTTTTAAATTTGAATTCTTTTAAATATTTTGATCAATTTGCTGAGTTTAGAATATATCTATCTCTATTCAGCTGAATTTAGTATAGCAACATACAATATATTATTCTGATTCATTTAGCTTATCATGAATAAATAAATAAATAAATAAAAATTCCTAAGTTTTAAAGATTTGGTTGGCAGATTCTTTCTTCACCATTATTATTATCATATAATAAATTGCCGAACCCAGATTCCATAATTAATTAATTAATTAATTAAAATTAATAATAAATCGTTTTCTTCGATGACGCATATATAATAGACCATTTTGTCTGTATATTATTTCTACATTTATAGCTATCATCGACTAGGCAAGTCCAATTTTCCTTATAAAACAAGAACACTCGCTCCCGCTGTTTCTTCTCTCAGAAAAAACTAAATGGGAGTGCGGAGCAGCGAGGCAGACACCGGAATCCGGCGAAGAGGCTGTTTCTTGTACGAAAGAACGATTTTCTTCCAGAAGAATCATTTCCAAAAGCTGGGGGAAATTAACATGGAAAGCTCTTAGCGAAAAAACTCCAATGCGATTCAAGGAATCGGTTATTGACCAGCCCCCCCCCCCTGATCCATGGACTCCACGATTGACCAGATCCATGGACTCCACGGAGCTCCATGAAATAAAGGCTCGAAGCGAGCATGATATGAAGAAGGACCTTACTTGGTGGGACTTAATCTGGTTTGGCATAGGGGTTGTAATCGGGTCAGGTATATTTGTTCTAACCGGACTTGAGGCACGTGACCACGCCGGACCTGCTATTCTGTTATCTTATGTGATTTCGGGTGTTTCTGCTATGCTCGCTGTGTTTTGCTATACTGAGTTTGCTGTGGAAATTCCAGTTGCAGGTATGCTATGGGTTTAATATTCATATTAAGGTAATTTATTTATTTTTGCTGACCAAATTATGAAAAAATCAAGCCAGAAATATCCTTCACATGTAACTATTGGACTAAACAGTTAAAAAAAAAAAATTCTTACTTTGCTCTTAAAAAACAGTTAAAAACTTATCTCCTAAAGGCCACAACTTTCCAATGTAAGGTGGAAAAAGACACATATTTCAAGCTCCCCAGAGCAAATTCGGATAATATGCAAGCTAGAATTTTTTTTTAAAAACTTATTTTGATAAGTATTTTTTGGTCAATTTACAATTTTACATGCACAAAGCTAAATAATTTCTTTTTATTGATAGTATTAAGATCATATTTTATTTTTAAAATATTTTTTAAGAAAAATTATATTACTGTAATATCATTACTATTCAACAAAAAAAAAAAAATCAATAAACCATTGAACCAAAAACCATATAAATTAAATCTATTTCAACCTTACAACTTAAAATTTTGAAAAATATTAGTACAAATCATATAGATAAAATAATTAACAATAATAATAATAATAATATTTCTTTCCTTTCAGGTGGATCATTCGCTTACCTAAGAGTAGAGCTAGGTGACTTTGTAGCCTTCATTGCCGCCGGAAACATCCTCTTCTAGGTATTGATCGGCGGATGCTGCGGTGGCTGTTCATTGACATCATAATTTTCGCAACTCTCTGCAACCACAATCCAGACGACTTCCGTATAATAGTCCCACAGTCTTTCCTGACGACTACGGCCATTCTTAGACCCCATTGCGGTTTGTTGTTTCTTCAGTCATATTATTCCTCGCTGTTTCTAGCACCAAAGGCTCATCTCGCTTTAATTACATCGCTTCCAATTGTTCATTGTCATCACTATCGTCTTCATCATCATTGCTGGTCTTACCAAAGCAGAAAGCAAAACTTACTCTCCTTTACACCTCACGGTGCTCGATATTTTTTGTTGCATCAAGGCTGTTGTTTTTCTTCGCTTATGTTGGATTGATGCAATTGCCAACCAATGGCAGAAAACTAAAAAACCCAGCTCGCGATATTCCTATAGGGATTTAGTGGGATCGGATGACAAGTAATCGCATTAGCATATTGGTCTATTAAGCTGCCACATTATGGCTTAATGGTTCCATACAGCAGCTTTGATTCCTGATGCTGCATTTTTCTGTGGCATTTGAATATGTGGGGTTGAGTTGGGCAATATATAGTCGCTCTTGGTGCATTAACAAAGAATGACTACTGCTTTGCTATGTCTGAAGCTGTTGGTCAAGCTCGATTGACTACTGCTTTGCTTGTCGGAGCTGTTGGTCAAGCTCGATATCTAACTCATATTTCTCGAACCCACATGATGCCACCATGGTTAGCTCATGTTAATGGAAGAACAGGAACACCAGTAAATGCTACTATTGTTATGATTACAGCAACCGCCATTGTTGCTTTCTTTACTAAAATGGATATTTTAGCTAATCTTCTCTCTATTTCTACCTTGTTTATTTTCACTCTGGTGGCTGTTGCTCTTCTTGTTCGTCGTTACTATGTTACTGGAGTCACTGCGCCTGTAAATCGAGTTAAGCTAGTGGTATGTATATTATTAATTCTTGCTTCTTCTATTGCTACTGCTATTATCTGGGCTGAAAATGGAGATGGTTGGATTGGATATGTTATTACTATACCCATTTGGTTTTTGGCTACTTTAGGGCTTAAGATTTTTGTTCCACAAGCCAAGGATCCAAAACTATGGGGTGTTCCATTTGTGCCATGGTTGCCTTCTGCTTCAATTCTTATTAATATTTTTCTTCTAGGGTCTATAGACGGTTTGTCGTTTGCTAGGTTTGGTGTATGGACTGGCGTTTTGTTGATATATTATTTGTTATTTGGATTACATGCCTCTTATGACATTGCTAAGGGTTTTACTAATGATTCTATAAATCCTAGCGAGTAAGGAATTATTTTTTATATATTATGATTGTTTTTATATTTTTTTTTTCACTTTTGCCAATGTAGTTTGTGTTAATAAATGAAAATATGAAATATAAGTTAATTTATGTTTAGTTTCAATTCTAATTAAAATGATTTTCTAGATATTTTTTTTAACCCACGATATCTCCACCTCATCCGACTCGGGGTTTAATTACAGTTAAGGCTCTCGCCCCTCTCTCCATGTGTATTTAGTGAGAATAGAATCTAAGAACTCTTCCCACATGCTCAGTTTGCGTTGCCAACTGTGCCATAATCCGTAGGTTAAGTAAATTAAATTTTAGTGTAATGTTAAATTAATTAATTCCTCAGTAAATAAAGCATTTGATAAATTAATTGGTCCATTATATTAAGTGTAAACTAATTATAATAAAATAATTAAGGAACAAGTCTCATATTTAGTTGTCCATCAATACTCGTTTTTGAGTTGCAGTCTCGTAGGTCTTAAAAATTAACTGGTTTCCTTAGATATGCAGGTTTGTTTAATCATTCAACTCATAGGTCTCCGTTGAAACATTTCTAATAAGCAAATTTGATGAATAAATTACTGAAGTAAGTTTTTATTTTCCCCTTTCGCTGCAAATCTGTGTTGTTCAAATCATTTTAGAATTGAATGAATAATCTTTTGAGAAATGAAAATAACTCTTGCAACTTCTTTCAACTTTTTCTTTTCTAAATCCACTTATGGTTCTAGCGATGAAGTAATTGATTTTTTTTCTTGCTTACCGTCTTCTTGTCATTGTTCTGGGTGTTCTTGATTATGATGCAGATTTCAACGGCTTCAATTTCAACAGCCCCATCTTGCAAATCTAGAGTTTTCATGATCAATTAAAAGACTTAGTAGTTTAATAAAATAATTAATCTTGAAGTTGCTCTGTTGTGAATAGAAAGATTTGGTGTTTTATTGAAAGGAAGACTGAAGAATGTGAAAAACCAGAGAAGAAGAAGGGAAGGCTGAGAAAGATTTGGTGTTTTAGGGTATTTTAGTCATTAAAAACTCTCTCTCTCTGTTTTGATTGCATTGTAGTGCTTTAACTTGGGGGAAAATACACCAAAATTGGTCGGAAGGAATAAAGTGTCTAACCGGACTATAACTCAATCATGTACCAAAATTAGATGGAAGGAGTAAAGTGTCTAACGGCACTATAACTCAATCATATATTTTAAAAAAAAGTAAGTCTTAACTAGTGTATTTGACCAACATATAAGGACATAATAATAATTTTTTCTTTTTTTTTTTGAATATTGAGAGAGAGGATTCAAACCTGACTCTATTGTCAGTTTGTAGATACACTTATCACTAGACTATATATATATATAAACTATGTGAACCAATATATTGAAAAGAATATGAATAACATATTTCTTATTTAAATTGCTATTTTAAAGTGAGAAACAAATATATTAATTTTTTTAATGAGATATTACAGTTTAAGACATATAATTAAAAAAGACATATAATTAAAAAATTACTATATATATAAAAATCACTATATTTATTGTGATCTAAATAAGAATTTATATTTTAATTATATAAATAAAGAAACTAAAGAAGTATAAAAAATCAGCATATAATTACGAGTATAGTCAACGTGCATCGCACGTCATAAAAAGAACTAACACTATATATAAAAGTGGGAAGAGAGAAGGGAATAATAGAATTTCATATATTGTCCTTATAAATCTTAAGATATTCTAAAATAACCTTAGCCATAGCCAATTAAAAAATTTTAATATAAGAAATATATATATAATTTGATTAGATGTTTTTTTTAACTTTTTTTAATAGATAAATAGATAAATACATATACGATATTACATTTGAAAATTTAAAATTTTACTATCTTATCTTATTATGTCTACTATAATTATAGTTAAATATTTATTATATTATATTATTATAATTAATTAATATAAACTATTAATAATCAGTAAAGAATTAATAAGCATATAAGAATTTAAATTATTATTTAACTATTATAGTTTTATCTTCAACATTATTATTTAAATGAATATGTGTAAATATGAGGCATTGAAAAATTTTTTATCTTTTTAAATTTTATTTTAAATAAATATATCTAAATAATTATAGGGGGGGGAGCATTTAATTTTAAAAGAAAGGGTATGGTTAAATTTCTTTAATTACAAATTGCACTTTAATTTTGTTGGCCAAAAAATAAGATAAAAAATTATTATTTTTAAACATCAGGAATTTGGTTAATTATATTGATATTTTATTTAATTCGAATCATATTCTTTCTGTTAAGGAATATAATTTTATTAATAAATTTTTAAATGATTTCATGATTTTGATTAGATAAAAAAATAAAAATAAAAATTACTATTATTTATAATATTTAATTTGTTTTATTATATTAGTTTCCTATTCTATTGTTAAAAGTATGTTTATTTACTAAAATAAATTATAGTGAAAGTTATTAACAAAACATGTAAGTTAATTATAAAACGTAAAATAAATTATATGATGATTTTTATAAATTAATTTGGTAGTTAAACAAAAAAAAAATAAAAGCAACTAGCGTATAATAAAAACTATATGAACCAGTATATTGAATATAAATCACATATTTCTTATTTAAATTACTATTTTAAAGTGAGAAACAAATATATCATTTTTTTCAATGAGATATTAAAGTTCAAGACATATAATTAAAAGAAATTTATATATATATATATATAAACCATTATATTTATCGTAATCTAAATAAAAATTTATTTTTTAATTATATAAATAGAAAAGCTAAATGAGTATAAAAATGAGTATAGTCAATGTGCATCGTATGTCATAAAAAGAACTAATAGTATATATAAAAGTGGAAATGAGGAGGGAAAAATAATAAGATTACCCGTAATAACTTTAGTGAAAGTTTAAAAAACCTAAAATATCCTTACTCATTGGATAATTGATAATAGTTTGAGTTTATTAAATAACTTGAGTTTTTAATAATTGATAAATTATAATTTTTAATATTTTTTATTAATTTTATTAAAAAAATATAAGATTATATTATTTTAATAATATCTTTTCTAAAGATAATATTATTATTTTAATTGAACTTTCAATCATTGATTATTTACAATATTAATTATTTCAAAAAAAAATTTTAATTTTAATTTTAAAATAAACTTCAAAATGCAAAACAAAATATATAAAAACATCTATAAAAAAGAATGGTCTCACACGTGTGTGTGTGTATCACTTTTAAAATTTTAAATTTTTTTATTTATATCTATTTATTTATATTTAAGTTTTTCATGAACTCAAATCAACTCAAATCAACATTGAATGACGTATGATCATATTATTTAGTTTTTTTTTTTAAAAAATGCTAATTAAAATTTAACGTTATCATTTTCAAAAAAATTGAAATCTAATCTTATAATTAATAATAATTTTTTCATTTTATTAAATATAATAATCTATAATTGATTAAAATAATCTATAATTATTTTATTAAATATACTTGACTTTTAATGTTGTCCTATTATATTAAAATTAGTTTAAAAAAATATTATTCGCTTATAATATATTATTGATCATGTCTTAACATTATATAAATATCTAAAGAATATAAGAGAAAAATTATAAGCATACTTAATACTATATAAGAATAAATAAATGAATATAAACAACGAATAATATCGAATAGTAACAACGTGCAACGCACGTTATAAAAAAAACTAATATATATAAAAGTATGAACGGGGAATGTTGACTTTCTAAAATGCCTCTGTTAAACTTATGGATTGACAAAATTATCTTTGAGAACTTAATTTTATTGGTTGAAACATACAAGTAGATTAATTTTGATCGCTGATGTTAATTTAATTTTCTATTTAAATCTAAATTCTATTAGAAAGTTTAATCTAATTCTAAATAGTATAGATTATAAATATTTTTTTTATTCAATTTAGAAATCTTAAAATTAAATAGGATACTAAATTAAATGTTAACTATTACTACATACAATATATTTTATTTTCAATTATTATAATTATTGTAATGGTTATAAATAGATCAGAACCACTATACATGAAAATTAAAAATTCTTTTATATATATCTTTAATTTTATTCAATTTAGGAATTTTAAATTAAATATTAGGGCTAAGTATATATTACATAGTTTCGTATTTATTATGTATTCCTTTGCTCTCTTTAACTTAATAGATAATAAGATAAATTTAAAATCAATAATCTATAATATATATAAAGTATGAATGAGAATATTAAGTTCCTAAAACTCTTCTAATAAATTTATGGATTGATTAAAATATGATTGAGCACTTTAATTTTATTGATTGAAAACAGGTAAAAGTAATTCATTTTGATCGATTATATTAATTTCCTATTTAAATCTAAATTCTATTGGATAAAATAAAAAGAAATTATAAGATATATATTAAATAAGAAAATAAGATACATATTAAATGATATTAAGAAGTTATAATATATTTACAAACATGTTTAATTTATTGGTTAAATTTGATATGCGTTATTCTTTGATATATACTTTGTTTATTTTCCTATATTATAGTAGTTTAGAGTTTTAATTAATTTTAATATATTATAGGCAAATACAATAAGACAGAATTTATTTGATTTATGATATTTTGCTTCAATTATTGTGTATCGTTCTTATGGTCCAGTGTACAATAATTTGTTCAATTATTATCGTTCTTATGTCAGTGTACAATAAACAACATTCAGTAGTATCGGTAGTAAGCCTATAGGCTGTAAATGAAATCATACAAAACAAAACTATAAGACACAAAGATAATTTAGATTTTTTTTATTTTTTCCAACAAAGATATTTAAGTTCGAAATGAAAATATTTTTTTATGGATAGTAAATACCAGAAAAAGAAAACTTCCAACATGATTAATACACTGTATGAAAAAAAATTAAACTTTTCTTAATCACTCATTCACATTTACAATTAGATATCATTCTATTAGATT